TTTTCTCCTTCGATCGATTAGAACGTGATCAGTTTGATTATGGGTCACCCCAACAGGGGAATCTAACAGCATTAACCTGGGCCACAATACTGAAGTGCAGAAAACCACAATCCTCTCCCGACCACGTCCAGTTACATGTACCAGATGATGACAAAGACCACTGAGATTTAACTACACCCTGACAACATGAACAGCAAAGATAGCCTTCGCCTGAGCCGGTTATGGAAGCACTTCATCCACTCATCTGAGTTGTAAGCCCGTGTGAAACATTGTTTTCATCTTTATGTCAAAACAGAAACTATCACGCTTACAACGGATGCTTGAAATGCATTTCTGTTGGCCCCTTCAGTAGCTTAAAATCACACATTTTACTTAGCGGAAGTCGTTTCTGGGGCGGTGTGAAAAAATCTCACAGTATATCATTTATGTATTATGCCGTAAATTGTTACGTAGGATTTAAGGTTTTCATGGCCGTGGGTATCAAGATTGCTGTCTTCTGGGTTGTTGCGCCGTTTAATTTGGTAGAACTTTACCGACGTTTCACAGGCTCTTGCTGCCTCCATCATCATGGTGATGAGCAAGGACTTCTGATAAACTTCTACCAGACAACACGGCACAACAGCCCAGAAGATGGTCATCTTCGTATATGGTTACCTAGCGCCGAAACAGCAGCGTATATCGACATCTCTTGCCACAATACCTTATCTGGTATCCTAGCAACTACTTTGCAATACGGGAGACAGGTGGGGCTTATATTTTGAAAGAGATTAGGCGTGCTACACAAAAAGAAAACAAATGCCAGAGAAAGCCATGAAATTATAAACTTGCTAACGGGGAAAGGCAGAATAAGTATAAGGGGACGTAGTTAAGAAGAAGTGGATGTCAGAACAGGCATTAAATTACTTGAACACAAAGCAAAGCAGTCCTGCTGCACGTCATGTTGGTCGTTTGGAGGGAGAGAAGGTATAAGGTCTACTCATTCTTGACCTCGGCACTAGATGGGGTGAGTGGTCAGCATCACACCCCGGCCGCGCTTTACCCCAGGGAACGGATCCCGGTACCCATTGGATAGGAGGCTGGGTGGGCCCCAGAGCCGGCCTGGACGCAGAAGCTAGAGGAAATATCCTTTGCACCCGTCGGTGTTCGAACCCCAGTCTTCCAGCTCGTAGCTAGTTACTATATTGACTGAGGTATCCCGGCTCTTACTTGGACACAAGAGAAAACAAAAATAACCACGAAAATTAGTTGCCATAAAAATTCGGCGACATCAACCGAACGTTGATAACACAAAAAAGTGATAGTGGAACCACGGTTCCGGAGAATTTGACGTAAATACGTCTATACGGAAAGGAAGTTTATATATTTGCTTTATTTTAAATATTTCCTTTATACATGCTTTATATTTGAGCTAATTTTGATTAAGACATTGATTATTCAACTTCAATTAGTTACGCTTAAAATGGGTCTGTGGTAGCTGAATGTAATGTAAGATAAGGTAAAGTAAGGTAATCTAATGTATTGTGGTTTCCAAGGTGTGGTTGTTTATTTGTTGATAAAGAGATGACGTTTCCCAGGAAACATAACAATGAAATTTGACGTTTCCTAGGTAACATAACAATGAAGTTACACTTGTTCGTTTCCCTTTTTCGTAACACTTTTTCGTAACACTTTTCGTAACACTTTTTCGTAACACATTTTTGCCGAATGACACTGACCCTAAAATATAGACGTATTTACGTCAAAATATATTCATGAAGTTGCACATGCATTTACTGTACCTCGCAGATTGGTGCGAGAGGTGGAAACATCGACAACATCGTAAACTGAAACTTGTTCTTTATTAATGCACAGCCTTTTGATGCTTATCTGGGTGAACGACAATTAAAACTGGAAGACAGAAGAGACGTAACGGAGCAAGTTTTATTGAACACTTGTGTGCGCTTGGTGTGTGTCTGAAAAATTGCATAACCTACAAAATGGCTACGAACATCCATTTTATCGTACTGTCCCGTGCAGCGCAAAGTTGGTCTTAAATATGAAATTCCTGCGGGCTGAGATGTGGAAGTTACAACAGTCTGGCTGTCAGATTCCATTTATCTGTTGCACATGGTCGTATTTTGTTGGAACTCCTCAGTTCTGCAGATCAGATGACGTCTGTTTGTGCAAATTTAATTTAAACTGGGTTATTGTTTAGTACAGTGGCAGCTGCATACAAGGCAACGATAAGAGAATGTGCACACAGGCCAAAACTTATTTCCTGCAGCAGAGTCGGATAATTTACTGAAATAAGTTATAATTATTAATCTTGTCAAAAAACTTAACGCTTGTATGGGCCCCGTTGGTTCATTACCGTGTACACAGAACTTCATCATTGTACTAAATCCTGAGGACTTAAATACATTCCACCCTTTCATGCTACATTACTCCAAGATCCATTCTAATATTTTAAGTTAATCTACGCGTAGATCTCCAAAGTAGCCTCTGCAGTTATGCTTTTCTGCCCACTTTTTAAGTGCTTATTTTCTTACCACACATGTTATACGCACATAACTAGCTCGTCTCGTCCTTGATTTCAACACCCTAAATCACAGCCAACTAGTCGGCTTTGGCTCTCAGAGGGCTGTTACATCACTGATTATTATTATTATTATTATCATCATCATCATCAAATCACAGCAGTCTACGTGACGAGAATAAATATTAAATTTCATCAGTACGCAATTTTTTCCATCTTCCAGATGCCGATGGTAGCTGCGAATAAGCAGTCGCCAGAAGCCAGCAAAGGGCCGTCTCCAACTTGATGTTTTGACTCATGGACTATAAATCGCTCATTTGTTAGACCGCACTAAATGTAGATATCATCTTCACGTGTTCAAACTTAAAACTTAAATATTTAAATGTACAAAAAATACGAAACTACTGTGTCTATGAAAGAAACCTCGTTTTTCTTGTCGTAAAATTCGTACCTTTAATGACAGAGGCCTGTGTATGAGCCAGATTATCTCAGTGAAATAACTGAGGCAGCAAATGTTAACTTTGTCACCACGTCGAGAAGTACTTCTGGGGCATAAAAATCGATACACCTAGTACGATGAATATGTCAAAAGTCACTGTACGTAATAATGCTTGCTTTTGTGTGATCTATGATTTTTTTAAAATGGCAGATCGAAGTGGACACAGCACTGAACAGCGAGTAGTCATGAGCAAATGCTATCACTGAGCATCACTAAGAAGTTCATACGAGAACTCCAAGCTGATCTCCAAGAAAGTTTTGACAAAACTAATAGTAATGCAGCGGGAAATAAAACAGTTTTCAGCTTGTAGCGTGAAGGACAAAGCACTGTCCGGGCGAATTCACACGTGGGGAAGTTAACTCTGTTACACTGGCCAAAACAGTCTCTTCGTTAACGATCTTCAAGTCTTCTGATACTTGAAACAGCGATTCGTCAGTGTATCAAACACTAATGACAACGACATCATGTGCGTATGACTACTTGCTGTTCAATGGCGTATTCAAATTGATCTACCGTCTGCAAAAATCTTCAATACAAACAAACATTAAGTCAGCGACTTTTGACATAAGCATTATAACACAAGTAAAACATTCTGACGCAATTTGTACAGTATAAAGGCAGCAAAAGTTATGAAGTCAGGGCAAATCCGCTGGAGCCTATAGCTGACACCACCCACTGTTAATGTGTAGAATGTGAGTGATCTCGGGCAGGGTAAAATATGGAGGCTGAAAGGCTACGGCATCTGCGAAGTTTTTGTACTACTGGACTGCTCTTTTATGTACAGAGCCGTTTACCTTACATCCGAATGAAAATGAGGCGCTTCTACTGAGCTGATCGGAGGGGCGGTGTGAAGCCCTCGCTGTTGGCTGGACGCTGACAGCTTATCATTGTCACAGAAAGAAATGTTTCTGGAAATGGAAAAGCTCGACCATTTCAGATCCGGAAAGAAACTTTTCATTTAAATGTTCTGAGCGCCATTTCATAATTGAAATTTTTTGGATCAGTTTCGCTTAGTCTTTCGATGGCTTCTTATGTATTTCTTTCTTTCTTGTTTCCTTCATTTGCTGCCCGCCATCTCTGGTAATTATAATATTTCGACAAAACTCTCTAGTGCAGGTTTTCCAGTTTCACAAATTTCCAGCATCATTAGTTATATTATTCAAAATGAACCCTTCCAAAAGAAGCGATTCTCTGAATCTGAAAAGATGCTACCACAAGTGATGTTTTAGTGTTTCCTTAGTTCCTCCGACAGAGCCGGTCTGGACGCAGAGGCTAGAGAAAAAAATCCTCTGCCCCCGTCGGGGATCGAACCCCTGTCGTCCAGCCCGTAGCTAGTCACTATACAATAGATTATTCTAAGATGACTGCTTTCTGGAACGATGCGTCATGTCTGACAGAAGTTAACCGAAGTTTCAGAGGTACTTCCAGTATCCATCATCAGGGCGCCCTGATAATGGAGGCAGCAAGCACCTCTGAAACGCCAGCGAACGTCGATCGGACTACACGGCACAATATCGTAGAAAACATTCCTCTTGATACTATGAAAATCTGAAATCTCACACAATGCATTCTTCATTCATCATTATCTTGACAAGTGATACAGAGTCGTTAAATAACTGTGATTCTGCCGTATTCAGGCAGCAGAGAAGCAGCGCTTAATCCACAAGCGTGCACTTAGAAGGGCTCGTGTGAACAGATCACATGATTTATCTGTAGACAAAACAGTGTAAATATTTTATCAGTTGCTATATTATTGCTATTTAACTGCATTATTAGATTCACAGTCTATTGAGCGTTACTAACTGACCGTAAATCCTGCTTGGCCGGTAGTCTGAAAAGTCTGAATTCAGTAATTTGTGTCCGTGGACAGAATCTGTGTTAAACAATTTTAGTAATGGAATCGGGTCACTGGAAATTACTCGAATACAGGCATGCACTTATAAAAACGCCAAAAACTGAACAAGTTTCGTTTAAAACATTTTATTGCATATCATTACCATAATTATTCTGAACTGTTCATATAAAATTAACACTGTGATACATAATTATTAAAAACAGTACAATATTTTCTACCTGACCTTCATTTATTGTCAATAAATTATCTTCGTTATTACAAAGGCGTGATGTGAATATTTCTGAAAGAGAAGGTTGATGGGAGTTCTAGGAACCCTGCAACACCGTCTGGATGAGATCATGACAAGCATGATTCAGAGAACGTATTATTATAAACTGTTTGAAAATTTAAAAAAATTAATTTGCGCTACTTCTTACACCGCCAATCCTGAGGCAATGTCAGAAAGTCTGATCTTCAAATGTTAAATGTTTCACGCCAAGATTTCGACAGTAGGTTACAAGGATGGAAAAATTCATACTGATCAATAGGAGCCTTCAGCCACAACATGAAACTGTTTCACTGTTACGTCAAACGCGAATGAAAGGTGACGCTTTAAAAGTTTTAATGCTATGGGAACATCAAACGAGTGGGATAGTAGTCTTATATATTATGATGCTCTGTAGTCTTGTAGGTGGTTTTCATTGGATCGGATGAACACACTGGATCCATTTTCAGGTAAAGCACTCTTTTTTCAGCTTAACAAAGAAAAATCAGGAACACAGTATCTAAAGCCTAAGAAAAATTCTGAAGACGGGAGCAGTATTATCCTCCAGAGCTTTGTTACGCTGCTACTTCTGATATGCCTTCTTTCGCCTGAGCTCCGAAGTTCAGGATCCAACGTTTAACGATTTTGATGCAACCTTCAAGCATGCAACTTAGTAACGGATACTACAGTCTCATTAAAACTGTTCATTTGTCGCATGAATGCAACCGCATTTTAGGAACTTCAGAGATAAACGTCTTTAACAGTAACGGATAAGGGCACATCTTAATTACGTTTGAAATATTATGACCATGCACAGGAAAATGTGACTGAACAGCTTTTCGTTTTGCAAGACACAAAACTGCACAAATATCGTCTCAAAATTCAATCTTACAAAATTAAAACTTATTCAACAGCCGTCTACGTGGTTGACTCTTACGGCTGCATGACGAGGAACTTAAAGTGGTGGACATGTATTCTCAATCAACTGTGGACACAAATATCGCTATGAGGTGGTTCAGTGACGTCACCACTTGTCCAGGTCGAAGCACTGGGCCCAGAACTGGTCCATGGAGCCGTACACATGGCGCAGCACGCTGCGCAGACTGTGATTCTCGTCCGGGTAGCTCTGCGCAGGCGCATGATTCGATATAAGAAACAAATGAGGGAAAGTGCCGGCAAACAATACAGGAAAGTACATGCAAATAGTTCAGCTTAAAAATAGGGAAGGTGCAGGCAAGCAATTTGGCATATGCAAAACAGATTAGGTTCTTGCATATAATGCAGCATACACGAAGTCTAGAAAAACGATTCAGCATATGCAAGCGAGAAGAGCAGGCAAACAATCCAGCATAAATGTTGTTTTACGTAGCATAAGCATAAAATAAGGGGAAGTGCGAGCAGAAATTATCTAACGTCCAGTAAGGCGACGGGATGATCCTTTTGGGTAAGCTAATTATCTAACGTCCAGTAAGGCGACGGGGTAATCCTTTTGGGTAAGCTGATGACTGTACACGAATCTGTCGTGGCCTGTTACAAGGCACCATGTACATTATATATCTAGATTGTTCGAGAAGACCCACGTAAACTTTATAATAACAGGGAGATTGTGTGATTATAACCGAGAAACTTTCTTATTCACATTTGGGTCACTTGACCAACCTGCTTCATATAGAAACGTCGTATTGTGACATCTATGACTTTTAACCCGTAGGGTTGGGATTACTCGCTTGAATCTACAGACTTGAAGATTAATATTCTTCTATTTGATGTGTCCTCCCGAATACGCCAGGCACACTTAACACGGTGTTCTTTGCAACGATCGATTATTAGAATATTCTCTATCAACTGCTGATACTTAGTGTCGAATGAAATAATCGTAGCGAGAATGTTTGGGATTTTGGAATTAAGCGGTCGTGACCAATTTAAAGAGATTGTCCCAGCATTCACCTACACGTGAATGAAAGCACAAAATTACTTAGACTAGCCGGTAATATTTCTGAGATTCAGATGGATACATCCTGAAAACAGCCTAGAGCGTTCTGTTACAAGAACAGCCTCGGTACCCTTGAAACCGAAGAGGACTGTACAGCAGCGCGTCTGCAGTCCACGGATGAGAAAGTGAAAGAACGTAGTAGTGAAAAGGAGAGAGCAAGAACACGAAAGAAGAGGGAGAAATTAAAGGCTGTCTCGCGCGAACACGTGTTATGAATGCAATCGATGCCGAGTCGACGGCTATAAGACGGTATCTGGACACAGCTTCCTGGATGCTAGTGGAAGCAGCAGGGAGGGGGGAGGGGGGCAGAGAATAATATATGTGTATCAAACTGCATGGAGCTATGTCCTTTTTAGGGAAACTGATAGTTGCTCAGTCATATCAGCAAAGCTTTCCGTAAACATTTTTTGATAAAATGTCATATTCTGTAACGAAAATAAAGATGTCCCACTGTGGCGTCTGGTGGATGAAAACTGAACTATTATAAGATAGCAACTGAACTATGTCTCTGTCCTCCATGTTATGAGGCGGACACTGTTCGTATTATGTTACGGCACAAGTAAACTACAAGTCGGATAACAAACATATGATGTTAGAAGTTGATAAACTTTCGTTAAGAGATGATTGTTACAAACCTTAGAACTTCAGTAACAAAACACATGTTAAAATATGAGTGACGATTTGTTCAGAGTTAGAAGCAAGTGAGTAAGACGTGAAAATATGATAGTCGTTTTTCCCACAGATTAAAGCTCAGTAAAATTTTCTTTGTTAGCAGAACAATGCATTTTTACGCTAAAGTTACACTGGATGGGGTGAGGAAGCATAAACACGGACAGCTGTACAAGAAATACGAGAAATGGTTTGGGACTGGAATTGAAAGTTGAGGGGTGGAGAAAGAATTTGAGAAAGAAAGATACTCCACATGTAGGGAGGAAAAAGATGAGATACGTGTATTATTAAAATGTCTGAAATGGAGAAGGGGCGAAAAAAATGTTGTGTAGTAAACAGTTTAGTACAAAGGAATATTTACTTTAATAGCGCGTAACAACTTGTAACAATGGGAAGGACTTAAATATGTAGGAAAATATATGTAAAAATGTTATGTAAACGGGAGAAAAAATTAGTAAATCATAATTAGAAGTCGAGAAAACTGGGTTTGCGGGGGGGAGTTAAAATTACAATTTTAAGCAGATGTTTAAAATATTATCAGAGTAGCTTTAATAAAAATATATGTATGATTGCTGTGGACCCCAAATTCACGGTGTTATGCGGACACATTGCTATGTACAACAGAAATCATCTCTATAAGCGTTATGAAAATAGTTATTACATTGGCAATGTCGCCGTAAAGAACCAATTTACCAATTTTACGCAACTTTCCTAACACACCTCCATAAACAATTATGAAATAGGGTGACGTCTTAAGAGCACTAGCACAGGCTTTCTTTAGTCCTGACAGGAAAATTCGAGGGCAGTAAATGAAAACAACTGACAACCATTTCTTTCTGCATCCATCTACTAGAACTTTGTAGTTTATGTAGCATCGGAGGAGAAACTACGACAAAACTCCTACCTTTATCCGTTCTTATTCTTCATTCAAAAGCACACCTCAGCTTCTGATTAGACGTTACATAACCTCAAAAACTAGTATGCTTTCGTAAAATAACTGAATAGCAAGGCAACAATATTAGCAATACACATCATTCAGTATTATTGGAAAAGAATAATAAATTAATATAACCGTGTTTTGTTGTCCTCATCGTCCAAAAATCATTGCTTGTGGCCAGGGAAGAATCACAAAATTACGTATGGCACCAAAGCATATAATAGATTTATATAAAATCATGCACACAAACAAAACTGTTTACACATTAAGTAATACCTTGTGCCAAATACATTTCGACCTCAAGAGGTCATCATCAGTGGCAAAACTTTAATTCATTAGTCTTTCTGTTAAAATCGTATAATTCATGAAACGATGGTTTGTTATAAAGCAATGAGCACTTTTAATAGACAGACTAATAAATTAAAGTTTTGCCACTGATGATGATCTCTTGAGATCGAAACGCGTTTTGGACAAAGTGTTATTTAATGTGTAAACATTTTTATTTGTATGCATGATTTAAATATCAATACACTACATGGTATGCAAGGTTTTAAGATTATACAATAGATCGTAACCTAATTTGCCAGAAATTACTGTAAGGTTTGGTAATTTCGGTGGTATTTGAATTGCCAGCTACTTGCTGCTGATTCCTATCGTTTACTGCATTTGCTGAGTAATTGAAACAACTGAATGCGGCCACAGACTTGATTCGATTCTGGTTATTTTCAATTTGTCGGTAGGGCGCACCACTGGTGCACTTTATTGACATTACTCTGCGTGACACGTGAGTATCACAATCAGCAGTCCTAGTTAACAGAAAAAGGTAATGTATTCCAAAATTACTTCCATTTCCCGAATTCGATGTTTTAAATGCTCCATTCTTCATTTCAGGCTTACGCTTTCCAGCTCTCATGGATGGCCATAATCTCTTCTTTTAGGCGCATAAATGGAAGGATAGTTTTGATATTTTCGTGTCGTCAACACTATATAGATGTTCGTTGGAACATCAGTGCACGCAAGTGTACTATTTAGTTATTTCTCCTATTAAGAATCTACCGCAAAAATATTTCAATTTCCCAGTATGCCGAAACATAACACATTACAAAATTCAATTTAGGGCGCAGCAAACTTGAAAAGATAGGGCTCAACCTTTGTTTATATTCATGTTGAAGGATTTGGTTAAACCATGCCCAAAATCTTTGAAACTAATTACTGCAGATGATACTGTAAAGACAAATGTTCTTGGACTTGGAGGTACTAATTTTATTTCTATGAAAAACGATAAGTATCGAATACATATTATCAGGCCTACGACAAACATTCAGACGCGAGAGAGACTAATAATAAATGATATTATCTGCCATTTGTCGAATTTTCCCACAGTAACACTACGGGCACTCTGCTAGTACACTAATAGCATCGGAATTGTTCAAAAACTATTTTTCGTACGCGTACTTACTTGTTGCCTGAAGAGTATATTAGAAAGTTCCAGCGCCCTGCTGAGTACCATTGCCTGCAGATAGTGAACGTTGTCGTCCGCGTTACCATGCAGCAAATAGAACTGCTTTCCCCTAAAGCCCTCTACTAGCCTCGTGACGTCACTGTTGTTGTAGCCTTCCAGATTGTCCTCTGGCGTGGGCAGCCCCATGTATCGCTCAGTGTAAATTGAGTCTGAAACCCAATGTTTTGTAATCCTATGGTTGAAATAGAACCTGTCTATTGTAAATCAGGTTTAATTTAATTTATATTAGTTTTACGTGCAGCGATTGCTTTCATGTTTACTTGTCGCAAGATATCTCCGAGCTTCGTTGGTGCCCAGACATCCCAGGCATGGGAAGGGAAGCGATAACGCATGAACGTCTTTACGGGCGTGTGCCACAGGTTGCAAAGTATTCACTTACCGTAGTAGATCCAGCTGGTAACAGGCGCTACAGAAGCACCGCACTTGAACACGCCCACTGTATCGCGTGCCAACGCCATGGCCGTAGCGTAACCGCCGTAGCTCCAGCCCCAGATGGCAGTACGGGTCTTGTCTATGTACGGAAACATGTCTTGTAGCATTCTGCAATATGAGAACATTGACTGAAAGTCTGTTTCGTGGGACACTGCTTTCATTGTGTTCCAACAAAACAGATTGGCTATTTAAATAGATTTGTAAAACTGTAGTAAATCCCTTTCAAGGCCTTGAAGAAGAATGATATTTGATATCGACTACTATAAATAACTTATACTAACCAACCAACTCATTAACCAGCTTTTTAACTGACAGACAAATAAAGAAATCTTCTAACGGGGAACCTGACCATAGGTGGGAGATTTTTTAAATGGGTCTTACGTGTAAGGACGTGGACTGGATTAAACTGGCTCAAAGACAGGGTCCTTGTGAACGCGATAAACTACCCTCTGGTTCCATATAACGTGGGGAATTTGTTCATTAGCTTAGAAACTATTAGTTTCTCAAGAATGATTCTGTTCCATGAAATTAGTATCTATTGTACTCACGCAGTGGCTAAGATCTGGTCGTATATTTCAACTGTGCCCAGACGCCGGTAAACGCTGAACCTCATTTCGTCACCCTTCAATCCAGAACCCCTGCCGTCGATCAGAGCATATATGACGCTGCGGTTTGTGGTCAGGTATGCGCCCCAGCCCAGCGTGAAGGCGTCGGATATCTGCACTGAGTTCGGACCCCCGTAACTGTAACAAACGTCAGTTACTGGGGGAAGGCTAACTGATGGCAACCTTATCAGAAACGGGGAGGACTATTTGAGTTGTTACGGTAACGAAACCAAGAGTGAGATGTACATGGAATGGTTATATTACAATGGATC